CCCAAATCAAGTATGTACAAATTGGTTTTCCATTTTGATTGCTGTATGAATGATGCAATTTTTTGTTGTGTATTTGTTCTTTATCTCTTCAAGATTTACTCGGGCAAGATTCTTATGGCTAATCGTTTTTCAGGGTTCTTTGAACAAGTTCCATGGACAACATGCTCTCAGGGAGAGAGCAAAAAAGATAGACCAGGGCATTCTAATCATACGGTATAGCTCGGCTAATATATATTGATATTTTATGTTAAGATTTTCTCAGTTTTATAATTGTCATTAAGTGTGTATATATTCCTCTGATTAGAAGTTTAGCTTCATAAAATTTGCATCAGTGCAAGTTTGGTAGAATTATATGGTCGTCATGTTTAGTTTAGCTTGTTATTTCCCTTATTTCTCTTTTTGGTTGAATGGTCCGACCTGGATATATAAGGAGGATTGGTCAGTATTAAGGACAACAGTTTTTGTATTTATCACTGAATATGGTTTATAGTCTCAATTTACAATATGAAGCAATATTTGAACAAGGGATAATGTAAAGATGCCGGTTATATGTGAAAAGGACCATAAGTAGGTTTTTTTGTGCCTGGAGAAATTTGAAGCCACTCTGTTTTTGTGAATGAGTGTTTGTAATTTTACTGTCATGATCCAATTGTGATTTGAATATATACTCATTAGCAAAAGTTAGAGTTAAAAACTTAAATTCTGGTTTGTGTTTGAACCCCAGATGGAGCAGTATGGGTTAAATAATGCCACGAGGAGTTCCGAGCTTCATTTCATGCTTAAGACCTCTTTAATTATTTGACATAATTACTTATAATGATAAACCAAGTGATGGAAACTTGAAGTGTTGAAATGGTGCTTTGTGAAAAATGCACTAAAGATAATATTCTGAATTGGTGTTGTCTTGTCGAAGATGCCTGTTATTGTGGAAACTTGTGTTGATCAGAGCAAGGACTTAAAGTTAATCTCGCTTTATGACTTTCTTTCAGGTTCGAAATGCCGTACAATATATGGTGTGGTGGATGCAGTTCTATGATAGCAAAGGGAGTTAGGTTCAATGCAGAGAAAAAGCAAGTTGGAAATTATTATTCTACAAAGGTATTACTATTTGCTTCTGATACTATGATCTACTCAGGTTCTTACCCAATTCAACTTGAATTTGTGCCTTCATGCTACATATGGGGTTTTATAGAGAAATTGTAAATTGCATGACTTGCAACTCTCTTTCCTCACGAAAACTTTATTAAGTATCTGACGTTTTTTTTTTTTAAGATATGGAGCTTTACCATGAAGTCTGCATGCTGCAAACATGAGATTGTTATCCAGACAGATCCCCAAAATTGTGAATATGTTATAATTAGTGGCGCCCAGCGCAAGATAGAAGAGTATGATGTCGAGGATGCAGAAACATTCGAACTTCCTGCTGATGAAGGTCTGCTTTTTCAACATAGGCATTTATGTACTCTTTGTGGTGATCTGGCATTTTTAAAATTCCATACCTCACAAAATAATTTCATGCTTCAGAAAAGGGCAAACTTGCGGATCCATTTTATCGTCTTGAACATCAAGAAGAGGACATGCAGAAGAAAAAGGAAGCTGAACCTGTACTAGTGCGACTACAGAGGGTTTCTGATGTCAGGCATTCAGACGACTACACCCTTAACAAGGCTCTTCGTGCTCGCTTAAGAGTATAATATTTTGTTTCTTTTCATACTATGACGTTTTTACCTGTTGTGTTCCTCTTTCATCTTTCTCACGCTTGTTTAATGTCTGTCTTATTCAGAACCAAAAGAAAAGGGTTGCAGAAGAAGAGACTGTTTGTAGGAGTATGGGCCTAGGGTTACGACTACTGCCAAAATCAGAAGAGGATTCTGCTGCAGCAAAACGTGTGAAGTTCTCTTCCAGATTTGAGAAGAATAAGAAGGAAAAACGAGCAGCAATTACTGGTACTTCAATTTTTCCTGAACAATCAAGTTCCTCTGCAGCTGCGAAGAAAAGATTAGAGCTCGAGTCAAAGAGGAGGCAAATAAAGGCAATTGCAGCTTCCAACTTACTGACGGCAGGGATTAAACCATCGTCATGGTCACAACCATCTATTTCAACTGTTGGGACCAAGCGAATGCCAGTGAATGCAAGAATTCGTTAACTATTTATATACTTTGAATGTGAAGAGTTTCACGGTAGCCCTATTACATGTACCATATCACATGGAACATCCATGTAAGCCAACAGATTGTATGCTTTGTCAGCCCAAAGTTCTGACACTTTGTGTATAGGTTGATAAATTTTGTAAGCTGATTCTGTAAAATGTGAGGGACAGTTGTAGTTGTGGATGGTGCGGATTGTGCCATGTGTTAAGAAATGTTTTAAGAAGGCTCTTCTGTTTACTTAATAGTGAAATAATACTATCAGTATTTTTTTGATATTATTAGTGGCTACACATATTCCCTCATACATTAAGCGTATCCCAAGATTTGATGTTTGTTCATGAACCAAAACAGAGGGCAACTTTTACGACAAAAAATAAGAGAGGCAATTTTGTAGTTTTGTGCTTTCGTCCTCTACAATCCACATGACGATCAATAAGGTTCATGGCCTAGGTTAGTGACCTCCATTGCACTTAGGAGCGGCGCTCACCTAAGATATCTCCAAGTGGGATAGTCTACGCTGAGGGGTATGTGTTCGCACGGTCCCTACCAATCGAAAGTTCAAATCTTTGATCTGAGCTTCTTGTCACTGAACTCATTGTTTTGTATTTCTTTCTTGAGGTAATCGTTCTATTTATCCTTGTCATGTCATCCCACCAGCTGCTGCAGACCTTTAGTACACTACCCGTCTTGAAGCCTTATGAAGATGGTTTGGGTTTGGGTTTGATGTAAAACATCATATATAACTCCTATGCAGCCATGAAGTAGGCTATGATGAAAATTTGGATAAGGATTTAGTGCATTGTTTTTAGGCGGGTTTAAGGTCTATTCAATTCTCATTCCTGTCACTTGCATTTTGTGAATTACCCTAATATCAGAAGTGTACGATGTGCCTGCATTTGTAATTGCTTGTCTTAAGTGCGGACGAATTGCATTTTTGGTCAATAAACTTTCACTTTGGTCAATGAACTTTTTTTTTTTGCAAAACAAACAATGAACTTTGGTTTTTTTTGCAAAATAAACAAAAGTTAAGCAAAATACAAGTTGTAATTTCAATTTGCAAAACATGCAAAATTTTTGTTTATTTTGCACAAAAAAGTAAGGTTCATT